GTTTCACACCCAATTCAGGAGCTGCTTCTCCAAAAACCTTTGCCACAAAATCTCCAAATGCTACTTTCCATTTTGGACCAGGAAACCCTGCCACCATCAGGCCGTTCAACAGGCCTTTACTGCCCCCTGCTGGTTTAAATCAGAAGCAAGATGCAGGTTTCCAGGCCAAGTGACTATTAGAAATTGTTAAGTCTGACTTTTATCGCTCCGAGAGTTTTACAGCTGTTTCTTGCATTTGGCTAGGTGATTTCTGGTTATTCATCCTGGATGTGGAAAAATATGGGAGCTCAAACTGCCATGTGCCAAGTCATTGGATGAACACATCAGCTAAGGAACAAGAAGTAAATTTTTCTGCATGAAACTGGATGGGTTCTAAACCAGAATCCTAGAACTGAGGAGATATAGGCAGTTCTTGACTTATGACCGGAATTGGGACCAGAATTTATGTTGCTAAACAAATTGGTTGTTAAGTGAGTCATGCTCCATTTCCTGGCTTTCTTTACCATGGTTGTTAAATAAATCATTACAGTTGTTAAGTGATCATCATCACATACAGTTGTTAAGCAAATCTGACTTTTCCCCATTGACTTTGCTTGTCAAAAGCCAGCTGAGCAGGTCACTGCAATGGTCCTAAGCACACACCAGTTGATGAGCGTGTCAGGTTGTCTCCATTCAAAACCCAAGGAAGGAAACCCCTAACTCCATGTTTGTTAGGGAAAAGCAATGGTGGGTTCCGGATCTCACTGTACCGGTTGCAACGGGGCCCGGCGTCCTCCTACCATCCAGCGATGCCTCCGTGAGCCTCCATGACACTCCAGCTGCTCGGCAGAGCATCACACAGGTGCTGTACGTGCTGTGCACGGACGCGCCGGAGAGTGTAAAGACAGCGTGACCCAACAAATGAGCACACGACAAAAGCACACCAACAAAACCGCAGCGAGAAAACCGTGACATCATACATGTGCCCACAACAATGCGCCAACAAAACCGCGCCCACAAAAGCGCAATTTCAATTAAGGTAAGGGTTAGGTTCAGGGTTAGGTTCAGGGTTAGGGTTAGGTTTAGGTTTAGAACTCACGGTTATTACTTGTTTGTTGAAGGCGCGCTTTTGTCGGCGCGCTTCTGTGCTCATTCGTCGGCACAATTTAGAACTCGTGGTTTTCTCACCGTGGTTTAGTCGGCGTGCTTTTGTCGAGCATGCATTTGTCGGTGAACCAAAACACAAGTAAGGAGCACGGGTGGGTGGGTGGGCCCTCCAAAGCACTGTACTGCAACGGTACATGGTGCTCCGGGCAGGCTCCGATATGCCCATACCAGGGTGTAACCCACCACTGGGGAAGAGGTACTTTTATTGAGTTTGAAATGATAGCAAAGAAAGAAAAGCAAGATCTGAGGCTAAAGGCGTGAAAGTTACATGTTGAAAGTTATTCCCAAATCCTTCCCCATAAGGACCCAGGTTGAATGTCTAATCCCCAACCCATATGGTGTCATGTGGGGTGCCTCTTCAGGTGTTTTCACCCATCTGGTATTCTGGGATGGTTGACCTTGACTGGGTATAATTCAGTCCATTCAGCTGCGCAGTAGACAATGAGAGCAAACCTCCCTTTTCGTTCCCACCTCCTCCTCCAGCTCTCTTCCCCACCCAAATGCCAATGCTTCTCCTGCCCCCTTACTATGGCAGCCAATAGTAAGCAGGCATCATAGAGGCTGACAGAGCACCTGAATTTTGATCACGTGACTCTGGGGTTGCTGCAACAGTCATGAGTGCAAGGATGATTGTAAGTATTTTTTTCAATGCCATTGAAATTTTGAATGGTCACTAAACAAATGGTTGTAAGTCAAGGGCTAACTGTATTGGAGACAATCAAGTCAAGTCCTGTGCAGGGCAGGAATCCAAATTCAAATCCAAGCATCCACATTTACATAAAAATACATTTTTAAAAAACGTGGAGCTTCAATCTCATCACCATGACCAACATCCTGACTTTTCTGCCCATGGCCTTCAACACTCATTGTCTCCCTTTCTGTAACCCAGGTTTGTTATTCTGCATCCCTTGTTTTGAAACAAGAGAGAGGAGCTTTTGATCTTCTGGGCAACATCCTTTCAGGTGTTGAAGTGAGCCAACCTCTTCCCCTCCGTCATCTTTTCTCAAGGCCACGTGTCCTTCGTTCTCTCTTGATCAGACTCGGGCTCAGAGTCCCCTTCATGTGTTTTCCTCCAGGCCTTAAGTCAGCAGGAAAGATGCCAGCATAATTGTGCTGACCTGGTGGCCAAGATTTAATTGGGAGCAGGGCTTATTTAGTCATCCTATGTAAAAGAGCATCAGTTCGGAATAATAATATAAATAAGTAAATAGAGCTTGTGTGGTGTAGTGGGCAAAGCATCAGGCTAGAAACCAGAAGACTTTCCCTCCCATCTTTGGTATGAAAGTGATCTGAGTAACTTTCAGCTAATCACTCTCTCTTATACCCAACCCACCTCACAAGGGAAAGTATGGGAAAGCTGTGGGGAAAATAGGAAGAGAAAGGAGTATTAGGTAAGTTTACATGAAAAAATAGGTGGAATAAAATTTTTAAAAATAATTTTTGTCATTGTTAGTTGCGAAGTTGTGTCCAACCCATCATGACCCCATGGACAACGTTCCTCCAGGCTTTCCTGTCCTCTNTGAGCCGGTGAGATTTGAACCGCTGACCTGCTGATCTAGCAGTAGCCTGCAGTGCTGCATTTAACCACTGCGCCACCTTGGCTCTTAGTAAAGCCCTTTAAATTGTTTTAACCATATAAATGTTTTCCATATTAACAAAGCAAAAGAAAAAAAAATGAGTTTAAATAAATAAATTAGAAAAACCACACTTCAAAGATGCACATCAAGCTATTGCTCCTTCTGCTTTTAGTTCCCTGACTAAAGCAAACATTCTAACCTTTTTGCTATCAAGAAATGCCATCCAGCTCAAAGGATTATATGGAATCCTCCTTTCCACCCCATCCCTGCATTTCTCAAGAGTTTCAGTTTAACATTACCTGAATAGTATTACTCAGAGCAGATTCTTACATTTGTGATAACAGAGAAAAGTCCATTCTATCTGAAAGCGGAAGAGACCACAACCTGGCGATGTTTGAAAACTCAGTTTTATTGGAATTGGTTTGACCTACGCTATATTTCCTCCTCATTGTTGAATTCATATAGTTTTTTTTTTAAAAAAAGAATGTTGTGTTGGAAGAAATGTCCGTCTGGCTTCAGTTCCAAGTGGGGAGAAAGATCCTGGAAACATGGAGGCTGATTAGAAAGATGGTTTAATTGATGGACAGGACCACATGAGTTTTAGGCCCTGGGCAGCTGAACACATGGAGGAGAGATTTATACCCTTTCTTGGGCCTTGCCCTTGAGCTACCTGTTCCTGTGCAAGAAATGTATTCTATTGGTTGCCATCAGACTCCCATGTGCAGTCAAGTTTGTCTGAATCAAGTTTGATTGAACCTTGGGCTGATGCAATGAAGAGCAATTCTTATTGTGGTTGAATGGCTTTGCCCTCCCTTCGTTCAGAATATCCTGTCTTGAATGGATGACCAAATCTGCATTTCTAAACGCTGGCCTCAGTTTAGTATCTGCTCCGGGGCACGGAGCTGCAGGGAGCTGCTCTTTGTCTCTAAAAACATGTTTCTCCTTTTCTCATTCTCAGAGGAAATTTCTGGCTCTCAGTTTTCCAAACTAAACTATTCACCTTCCTCTTTCTGAAGTTTAAATTCAGGATAGGCAACTCAAGGCTTTTGCAGAGATTTGGAAAGACAAACAGAAGGCTGCATTCAAATGAATAATAAGATAAAGATCATGCAAGCAGAGGATTTTAAAAGCATACAGTTGGGCCATGTAGCCTATTGAGTCCAATTACTTAATATTGTCCAATTTCACTGTTGTTATTGCTAGTTGTGAAGTTGTGTCCCACCTATCGCCACCCCATGGACAATGTTCCTCCAGGCCTTCCTGTCCTCTACCATCCTCTGGAGTCCATTTAAGCTCACTCTGACTGCTTTGGTGACTCCATCCAGCCACCTCCTTCTCTGTCGTCCCCTTCTTCTTTTGCCCTCCATCATTCCCAGCATTAGATTCTTTTCCACTGAGTCCTTCCTTCTCCTTAGGTGGCCAAAGTACTTGAGTTTCCTCTTCAGGATCTGGCCTTCTAAAGAGCAGTCAGGATTGATCTCCTCNGAACTTGCACAATTGGTGGCTGGCTAAATACTTTTTTTTGTCTCACTGTAGTTTCCAAAAACTAACTTTGGATATGTTGAGTGCAAAGAATCAGAACCACACATTAAGTTCTAGTTCAGTTGATTTATTGCTCATGTCTATAGCTCTTATCACTTAGATTTATATACCACTTCATAGTGCTTTATAGCATTTTCTAAATGGTTTACAATCAGCATAGTACCCCCAACAATCTGGGTCCCCATTTTACCAATCCTGAAAGGCTGGAAGCTTGAATCAACCTTGAGATGGTCAGGATCAAACTCCTGGCAGTGGGCAGTATCAATACTGCATTCTAACCAATGGTCCACCATGGCTCAGAATCTAGTCAACTAATGGTCAGCACTAAATTGGTGCTAAACAACAGTTAAATGGAAATCAAGAGGCGGCTGGACTTGGACGACTCATGGGAATGTACAATTACAGGATGAGTCCTCTCTTGATAAGTTCTGCCTCGTCTATATCATGGGGCTACATAACCCTCTCAGAGACAATAAAGGAACTACATCAGAATCTGCAAACATATCTCTCCAACATTTATCCTTTGTCAAACAAACATTTGTATAAAGTTTCCTAAGTAAGGAAAGTAATGATGTCTTTCAGAAGTAAGGAGACATTGTTTGCTTCAAAAGGAATTGAATGGTTGCAATTCACAGTCATATAAGACATCATGGGCTGTTTTATGTTCACTGACGTGGGTAAAATAGCAAATTACAAATGGAGAAATTGTAGAAAATATATAAATAGGAAACTTACTACTAGTGCGGAAAGCTTCATATGGCAGTTTTGCATTTCTCAAATAAGAATCCAAGTCTTCTTCTACCATAGAACTGTAAAAAGAAGTTATAACAAAAAGGCCTACGTTCAGAGGACATTTGGAAATGAAAACAGGTCTACTACACTGACAAAATGTTTTAACTTTGTTTTAATTTTAAGAAAAGTATGCTGCATAAGTGGCTGCCAAAAATTAATTTATGGATGATTGTAAGTAAAATTGAAAACCTTATCTAGTACAATTGGATTTCTAAAAAAATGGCATTAGTTTTTGTTTTGTTCTTGCCTTTTTCTATATTTCCTGTGAAATATGTAAGGTAATCAATTCTACTATTTGAAATTCAAATTTTAAATAGTTTCCGACTGTACTGCTTATTTAAAATTCCTCAACTTTAGTTGTTCCTCTTACCTTTGGGCATCTCCATGGTTTGCTTTCTGAGTTATTCTCTGCAACTTTTGTTGCTAACAAAAGTAAGAAAAAGAAAAGAAAAGAAACAGCCACTCAATGTTAAGATCCTCCAAGTTAAGAGCATAAGCAATATTATCATAGCATATCAATTTCTAGGGTCAGTACTCAACAACATAACATACTGGCATGTCTGTTTGCACTCCATGTCCGATATGTTTCTCATTAGCACTGGAATGTAGTAATGTAGTAATATAGACTGTCAAAAATTATCAGATCAGACAATTCAAATATGAGGGTGAGATAAAAATTAAGAATTAGAGAACTTAATCCAAGATAGTTAGCATGATGCTAAAATCATAGATCAACTCATTCTTGAAAAGATGACATTGTATGGTGAGGGCAAAATAAATACCTGCTTTTGAAAGTGTAGAAAAAAGTATATTAAGGCATTTCCCTTGCTTGAAAAAATGTATTTGGGCATTTGAACACATTTCTCTAAATGAATAATACGTAAAAGCAGCTTAGTATGTGGAACTGTTGTACCAAGTAATCATTCAATTCACTTTTAGGACTGGGCTTTTAGTATCTTCAGTAAAGGAGCCTTTGAAATAATGACATTTGTCACTTTTTTCTCTATAAAGGGCACAATCTAACAAGCTGTTTCAGATACCTGAGCATAGCATGTTTTTTACATACATGAGCAGCCTCCATTGTATCTTATTCTGTATAACCTTCCATCTAGCAAATATACTGTATAATTTCAATCATTATATTTTTTTTGGGACCACTGGCCTGCATGCTACTCCATGACCTTAATGTGTTTTTGGTGTCCTAAACAAGTGATATAAACAGGAAAAATATATTACTTATTTGATGATGATAATGTATCTATTTATCTAGACAATTTATATGGCTGCCCACTCACTCTCAGGGACTCTGGGCAGTTTAGACCAGTGGTCCCCAACCCCCGGTCCGCGGACCGGTGCCGGGCCGTGGAGTACCTGGCACCGGGC